TTTTAATGAAATGAAGCAAGAAAAGTTCATAAAATAATTAAAAAGACGCTTTTGTCTTATTAAATTATATGGTTTAATGCTCTCAGTGATTGAAATTATCTTCTATATTTTTTTATACTTTCTTTTAACTCAACTTTGAGGCATTGAGGGCATTTTGTGTTAAAACAGTTCAAATATGGTGCTATATTCTTGTTGATAATGTACATACTTTACAATAAATAAACTATAGTGTATACATTTATGTCTTGGACCGTGCATAAGTGTTCAATTACTAAGTTCCTGAAATTATATTTGATGACTTTATATTCTTATCTATAAAAATAAGTATTAATGACTTTTGAGAAACATTATATGTCAAGAATAAAGATTCATCTACAACAAAACATTATTTTAAAATTATATTTCACATACCTTAGCTACTATATTTATTGAGATCTAAAATAATCTTCTTTATAAAATCACTCAAATGTCAAAAGGCATGAAATTAAATAATTTGAAATTTGCTTTTAATCACTTGCATCTTGCATAATAGCCACTATTTCTTTTATTTTTTATGGTATTACCATTAGATTAGATATTTTAATTTAAGCAACACTTGTTATTTGTTACATCTTATAATAAAATCATTAAAAACTTAATAAGCAGTTATGCAGCCTAAGCAACATCCTTAAAGGGCTTCTATTTAGGTTTGTATTAATAGAAAGTAAGAACAATTCTCCGAATTTCTTCAAGGAATTTTAGAACTTCAGTTAATATATGATTTAAGTTTCTCTATCTTATTTATTAGTGTACAACTTGCAAAGGAATATTTGCTATTAATGCCATAGAAATATATTCATTTAAAACAACTAAAAAGTTTAACAGTCATTGACTGGCATATACTTAATTTTGTTGATAGGTTGAGAAACCTGTAACTGAGGGTCTTAGTCATCGTACAAGAGATCAATGGGAGATTGACCGTTCATCTCTCAAATTTGTGAGAAAATTAGGCCAGGGTCAATTTGGAGAAGTGTGGGAAGGATCTTGGAATAATACAACTGCAGTAGCAATAAAGACATTAAAACCAGGAACTATGGATCCTAAAGATTTCTTAGCAGAAGCACAAATTATGAAGAAACTTCGTCATGCAAAGTTAATTCAATTATATGCTGTTTGTACTTTGGAGGAACCTATTTACATCATCACAGAATTAATGAGGAATGGTAGTTTGTTAGAATATTTGCAAGGTAACAAAATTGTACTTTTTAATTATTTCAATCTGTAATCTATTCAATATTTATTTATCTGTTTGTTCATTTTTACACATGTTATAACTTTTCCAACAGGGAAAGGAAAAACATTAAATTTACAACGATTAATTGATATGGCTGCACAAATTGCAGCAGGTATGGCGTATCTTGAGTCACAAAATTATATCCATCGAGATTTAGCTGCTCGAAATGTATTAGTAGCAGAATTAAATGTTGTGAAGATTGCAGACTTTGGTTTAGCTAGGCTTATTAAAGAAGATGAGTATGAAGCCCGAATAGGTGCACGCTTCCCCATTAAATGGACTGCACCTGAGGCTGCAAATTATAGCAAATTCAGTATTAAATCTGATGTGTGGTCATTTGGTATTCTTCTGACTGAATTGGTTACTTATGGTAGAATACCATATCCTGGTAAATATATCTTCAAATTTAAATTTTGTAGTGATTTTTAGTAATAAAGATTTAAAAAAATAGTATCTAATTATTTTTAATTTTATAGGTATGACAAATGCTGAAGTTCTTCATCAAGTAGAACATGGATACAGAATGCCATGTCCACCTGGTTGTCCAACTGCATTGTATGATATCATGTTAGAGTGTTGGAACAAAGATCCAATGAAGAGGCCAACTTTCGAAACATTACAATGGAAACTGGAAGATTTCTTCACCATGGAAGGTTCTGAGTATAAGGAAGCATCTGCATATTAAAATATTAAAACAGTTTATAGTTCTTATAACATATTTCGTTATGATTTCTATCAGCAAGATATAATAGATATTCTGTATGAACGATAAATGCAGATTATTATAATTAACAGTTAAATTCAGAATACGGATGTTTGTGATATTTGAGAGAGTATACTTTATACTGAAGAATAGTCTTCTTTCTATAAACTATAAATACGGTTTATTTTTTTAGCAATATGATCACGCCAATTGCTTTTGTTATATATTCTGGCTGCCATAAAATTATAGAACAATTTTGTCAATTCATGAATGATTACACACGAACGAACATTGAATCGTTAATTAGTGGCTTTTAAAAGCAATGACATAGTTTAAATTTTATTTTGGAAAATTATATTCTGAACGTGTAAACGTCGGTATTAATAGCATCTGTTGGACAGTATTTATGGGAGTTAACAATTTTTAATTAAAAATTTGTTGTTTATTAACCTTGACGAGATAATACGATTGTCAGATGTATTACAAATTTGATGTAACAAAATATTTAGATACTGCACAGCCAATTTAAGCCAATGTTTTTGGAAGATTGTTTACATTACAATTTCAAGCATCTATTATGTAGCAGTAAGAAGGATTATTGTCTGTCTTGATTTATCATTCCTTCTTATTTATTTATATATATACTCACATACTTTTATTATTATTATAATTGTTAATTTATTATTAAGAATTCGCAAGTATGACACATTTAGTGTTCAAAATTTATCAGATATAATCTGTTGAAAACTCATAAGTGGCCTGTTAAGCCAACATACATGTAAGATAAATTTTATGAATATTTATTATTACTTTTCACTGTTTTCTTTTCTCTTTTTTTGCATATGTTAACTCTCAGTTATTCTTGAAAAAACACATATTAACTAAAAGCAATGTATTTAATCTAAAAATTATTCCTAACTGTTCATAAAAAATATAATACGTGTGTAAGATAACATAAGAAAGTATACAAGGGTATTAACATTACTAGAGAAGCATGTAAACTATTATATTTGAATTTTTTATTTAATAGTATAAAATAGGTTATAATCTTAGAATTTCAAATTAGTATTCGTTGCTATTAATTATTCAGTTGATTATTTTTTCGTATTACTTCAGTTTATTATCGCTATTTCTAACTTCCAAACTCAAATTTTTCATTTTTACATATTTGTACACTATAACTTATGTTTTTAATTTCTTAGGTTGATAGATGTCATCTTTTATCAATACTTCTGAAAATTATAATCTCTAAATGAAGCAATACAATTTTTGGGAATATATTAGAACTGTTTGTTTCATTTTGGCTTTATTAAGAGTCTTTAGAGTAAATAGAGTAAATATATTATACATGTCTTAGATTATCTATATTTGCATTTGATGCCGTATTTATTAATATTTACTTTCTTTTTGGAAAAATTTCCATTATTTCTATATAATGTATACTTCTCAAAATTGTATGAAAACAAGTTTATTTCGTTTATAAAAAGACATTAAGATGTTAGATATGTGTGAACACACAGAATTTGTAATATGTTTCATTTTATGCCTTTTATATAGATGGATATACAAAATAATGATCAAAAATAAACAAAATTTGTCTAGTCAGAGACCACTATTCTATTGTGAACATTTATGGTGTTAAATACGTTTACACCATTCTTTTCATGAACATAAGACGTACTGCCAAATAAATATAAAGAAACAGCTATCATGCTATTATTATAAAACGAAAAAGGAAATGAAACTGTATAATGACACAATATTATACTAAGAATTAAAGTAAAAACAGAACATTACTTAAACTTAAGTAAAAGAATGTTTAATTATGTTTCTGTGGTCATCTGATAATTAATTTAAAGCATTTTTGTGTACTATTATTTTAAGAAATTATATTGCTGGTATTAAATAGTATTAAAACTGATGATAGTAAGAATTTAAAAAATCATTTATGTAGGATATCAGGCACTTTGTACAAAAGTAAATTTTTATATAAGCATATATATTTATATTTTGTACAGTTTTATTTGAATATAATGAAATGCTTTTTATATATATATGAAAATTTCATTAAAGCGTAAAATGTCTGCATGATTTTTATACAGTAAGCTCAATAATTTTTTCACTGATCTTTTAATTAAAGGAGCGAAGAATACAGTGGTATATAAGTATTAATTGTGTGAAATATAATGATGCATATAATTTTTAAAAATAAACATAACACCTATGACATCGTTAACGAAATAGTATTATCGTTAATAAAATTGTTCATATATAATTGTATTATGTCATAATTATTATATTATATACGACTTTATAATTTTGTATGTATGCATAGATATATACAGTATACATAAATATTATATAATTGCGTATAGTACATACATATTCATATCGTGCGCGTGCGTGTGTGTTTGTGTGTACATACATGTATGTATATATATAAATGTGTATATATGTATACATATAGTACATACATCGCATGTTAAAAAATATTACAAAAGCAATTTTAACTTGTTTCATAATTTCTTTTGTTCCTTACCACCTTTTCCTACTTCTCGAGCATCTGTAATATACATAGATATGTCTCTTTCTATAAACCAATTTACTTTCTACTCATATGTTATTAATTAAATTGTCTCAAATATACTATTTCAGTGTTATGAGTTATTTCGAATGCTATCTAAATACATATATGTATTACTTGATAATAATACTCTACTGTAGATGATTTGTTGTAAATATTTCATATAAAATATATTTACTATATATACATTAAAATTGAAATAAAATTAGTTGTAACTTGATATACTGTGGTTGTATAATAACTTTAAAAATAAATCATTTACATTTTACTTAATTTACGTAGCATAAAACTTAGATTTCAATGCATTACAACTTATTAACTTTATCAAACACACATAATTTCATTTTATTTCAGTTTTTACTTTCTTTCAGTAGTTGGCAATTGATCTTGATACAAAATAGAAATATTACTAGGGAAAGTTACTAACCGGTAAGTCTCGGCAGGTGTCTTGTACAGGTGTTCAGTCGGCTAGTGGCGCGTATTCGCGTGTCCGGTATATACGCTATTCTCTCGGCACGATAAAGTATTTTACCGATGTTGAATAAATATATAAAAAAAAGTGCGTGAAATTTTTATTTCAAATCCATAAAAATGTCTCGATCATGGTGTGAAGTGATAGATTCGAAATATCGTGAAAGGTGATTATTGCTAAGAGTAAAATTTTCACACGAAAGATTGGCGGCCGACATCGCGGGTTATATTGCAGTTGGATATTATGCTAATCACATTACGGTCAGAATGCGGGAGGAAGAACTTGAGATATCACTCAAGGTAATCAAAAATTTAATTTTATTTTCCTTTTTTATACTTTTCTACCGATAATACATATTATCATTTTATACTTTCCAAAAACATAATTTTAATTGGCGCGCTTTTAAATGTGTTAGAACACATTAATATATTCTCTATGCAGAAAAAGCAGATTACTTGTTTACACCAAGCGTAACCACTTTTATTTATATCTATATTTTTTATACCAATATTTAAAATGACAGCAAGGTAATTATATTTAAAAGTCTCGAATGCCAATTAGTATTTAAGCGATATTGTTTCATTGAAGTTTATATTGAATTTGAAATCAACTTTTCGAAATGCGTATGCGCAGTGACAAATCTGCAGTATCATGTGAACATATATATATATACATATATATACATATATATATGTATATACATAATACACACACAAGTGAACCGGCTTAATATACTATAGGTTAGGAATGATCTTTCCGTTTCAACTATTTTTTCAAACAAAAGAGAATGGATAAGAGAAACAATTATAAATGTCGAGATAGAGAAATAATATAACTATTGTATATGATATGTTTTTTCAAAAGCGTAAGCATTTTCACCTATAATTTTTTAAAGTTTGTGGTACTTCAAGATTAAGATTATTTTTAAATAAGTTTAATAATCTAAATTAAATAAGATCCCTATAATACATATATAATATATATTATATATATATACATATATATTAATGTATATGTGAATAAGACAGAATAAAAAGTATTCTTATTTTCTTAAAATATTCTTGTCTCATAGCAATTGCGAAAAAAATATGTACATATGTTATATATGCAAAAATTTATACACCATTTGTGGTCCTGCTTCAACGAATACGGTTTATCTTTCGATTGTTATAACGGTACATACTGACATTTTCATAGGCATATGCTTCTATATAAGACCATGTATTACTTTTACTATTCTTATTGTCTGTACTTACTTGGAACAACCAGTGCGTGCATGCGTGCGTCATTACATCTTATTTCGCCGTATAGAAATATGTAACAAAACTAATCCCTTTCTGAATAGAGCGTTCCCGCGTCTTTCGGATTATTTTTCATTAACACTGCTTTTAGAGTTAACTACATATAATGACTGCATTTCGTTTATTAAATAATTCCTACTTGAAATTAATCGTTTAGAAATGTTTTCAAACATTATATTACAGATTATAATTCAGTGCCATTCATAACCGGTTGTTTTCATTAGTATTTACTAATGATAAGATTGACGTGAATATGAATGTTAATGTTTCTTCTATGGTTATTACAAGTAATCATTTCGTAAGCATACATAGATATGTATTCACTTAGTTTTCCGCTTCCGTTAAGTATGCAACCGTAGTATTCATTTGCTTGGAATGCGACGCTTTATAGTGATATTTCTTATTTAAGTAGAAGAGAAATTTTAACGGTGATTTGATCATTTGAAAATCTATCTTAATGTTCGACTAACTTGTTCTAGTCTTTTAATGGAATGCTCAAAGCAGTTATAAAATGAATAATTTTTGCATTAGAAAAATTGTTCATACTTCGAAAAGGATTAACGATTATATGATTAAGCAATTTATCTGCTGTCTACCTTTATATATCTCCTTTTACGACTAATGATAATTTAATATTTCTAATTCAATTTTTATATTACACACTTTGCTGATAATACTTAAGTTTACTTTAACATTTCTTTAATTTCGAAAGATAAAACTATAAAATTAGAAACTATAAAATTAGGTTCCTCGAGAAATTCGCAGGATTAATATACACGGCTTTAATTAGCATACTGTTTGATTCTAACGCTACTTAAATGAGATAATATACTAAATCAGTCGGATTATTTATAAAGAATACCAAAAAACAGGGAGAAAATCGATGCACATCTCGATTAATAATCGCGAATTCTATTTATTTACACAACGTTAATATGAAAAACAATATTCTCCATCGGAATATTTTCTGTGAAAGCTCATAGTTCACGAGTTTATAAAAAGTTCTAAAAATATTTATATAATGTAATACATTACGGTATTCTTCTTTCGATCTAGTACAATATAAAATCCAGTCGTATAGTTTATAGCCCAATAATATCGATGAATTGATTACATGTAAAATTTATTAATTTATAATTAATTTTATTTATTAATTTAATACATATTTTATAATTTTCAATGTATGTGTATGTTTCATTTTTACGCGATACTTGTAATAGGTAAGAAATATATTTTGTAAATATCTAGTATTATTTCTTGAAGGGTAAAGTGATACGTTATTAATCATGTCGTATGGACGATCATTTCATTTTTTATTTTTCTTCGCAGGAATCTGTTTTGCTGGGCTTACATATTATATTTCTTAAATTACTTGAGTTACGAATATATAATAATTCAAATACAGAAGTTAATTGTTAATAGACTGAGATAAGTTATAATGTTTCGTTAAAAAACGAACGACCTTGGAATGTCCTTTGGTAGCCCCTCGCCATGTTGTTTTCTTCGTAATATTCTAATGACCATTCGTAGATTAACGTGAGATATCTAGATGTCTACAAGGTGTTTGAAAAATCAGATATTTAACATTATCAATATAAATTACGTTATTTGTTTTCAATGTTTAGGTTCTATAAATATTTCTGAAGTACCTCAAATTATTTGATAAATAGTCTTAATGTTGTTGTCAATATTTTAAATATATTTTTTATGTTTGATAATTGACTTTCAGTGACTACTTAATTTTAGGGGTACCCTGTACGTTTATTAGGATATATCGGACTCCTCATACATATACATAAGTTTCAACAGAAGCTCGATCTCGAAGACCGGTTCACGTGGACTCGGGCCCTTATCGATTTAACCTACTTCTTCCTTTAGACGAACCGTTATCTCGATTTTGGCAGAATTATTTAAGATACGATGTCCCAGTGGACACGGTTCGGGACATTTCTCGGGATTTTAAATATATTTCAACACGCTATAAAATATATTAGATCTAAGCAAGATGAATCGTTATGTTCGAAGTATTTATGTTTCATCGGTTCTATAAAATTGCTGAGAAGAATACGTCGGAATTTACATTTTAAATGTTATTTTGCTCATTAAAATCATTCATACAGACATTGCGAAAACATACGAAGCTGTCTGATTTAGCGACGACAGTGGTACCTTGCATCATCGACGAAAAATGATGGCACACCTTTGATATCGGTGAGAATGCACTTCATAATTAAGCACTTCCTCTTTTTCTTTACTTCAAATTATGTAGCGTAGTAACTGTACATGAAAAACTGTTAATCAACCTGAAATTATAAAAGTATTCACATACAACTTAACTAGATTTCCTTCCTTGTTATTTCATGCTTTTATATTTCCGGACTCGAAGGCCAAACGATCCTTGCCCTATCGATCATTCCATTGTACATTATACTCGCGTTAATAGGTGAACAAGTCTTTGCCCCCATGGTTCCAATACTTTAAAACGCGTCCACAAAAGCGGTATCAATCATGAAAATAAATTGCAGCTATATGATAGCGTCGATTCTTACGAGTATTACCGTCATTTATCACAACTATTCGATTGGTTTTCGGTATTAATAGTTAAATGCCAGTCTATGTTTAAAGTGATCGACCACATTGCTGTGAAAAGCGAAACAGTTGTACGTATGTGCTGTGTAATGGACTAGAATATTCGACGATATCGCGAATATAAGTTGTACACGCTCAGATTGAAAAGCAACACCTCTTTATGACGCTCTTATCGATTGCTTCTTCCATGTTCAAACGTTCTTATTTCTGCGATCGAATATGTTTGGTCATTATTGATCGACGAAATGCAATTTCGAAGCAAGTGAATCATTCTCGTACCGTTCTAAATAAGAATTGTCACAGGTGTGTTAGGTACGTGTTAGTCGCAATATACATATTTCAATTATTAGTATCGTTGCTAATGTGTTAATTGCACCAACTAGTATCGTTGTGTTTATACGTACATAAATTCTATTATTCTAATTATATTAAATATTTCTAAGAATTAAAAAATAAATTTTAAAATGTTGCACCTTACTCTGCAAAATGAAACCGACACGGTTTGATATTCGCGTTATCGAATAAAGAGGCGACCGATTTTATTCAATCGCCTCATAATTTGCTGGCAAGAAAGTTGCGCGAGAAATTAGCTACAGGATCTATGCTGTTTTTTGCTCGTCTCGACCTACAGGTTTTAGAAAGTCTACCTTCCAGATAATCCTACATGTATGTACGTACGCTATCTCTGGACAATTTGAAATTGTCCCTAATGACAGATAATATCGATGCAACGTTCGCAACGAAACAATTCGACGAAGTCGGTGATACGAGTTTCCATTGATCAGATCATCGAGTGCATATGGAAATCTTTATTTACAGGTGGTGATAGTCGGTAATGGTGCTGTGGGGAAATCGTCGATGATCCAAAGGTTTTGCAAGGGCACTTACACGAGAGACTATAAGAAGACCATCGGTGTCGATTTTCTGGAACGGGAGATAGAGTAAGTAAAGGTGAAAAAATGGAGATTAAAGGAAAAGGATAAAAGTAGTTCGTAGTAAAACGTTCTTTATTATTATTTTCCCCGATGAGACTTTAATACTACAAACGAAATAACGATCGATGACGATGCCATTTAATACCTTAAAGGTAGCCTACGATGTACAAAAAGTCTTTTTTCTTACCATAATCGGATTATCACGAAATCTTTATTGGTCAAACGAGAAAAATCCGTTTGAATAAGCTTCGATCTGGTTGATTACGATGGAGCGGAGCTGTTCGACTGATAAAAAAAAGGATCGTTTCACCCAATCTTGCTAGCCTCGACGAGAAAATTCATCGTGTTATTTCTCTACACTTCGATGGGGTCCTTTTGCGCATAAAACATTGTTGGTACGTGAAGCGCATAATGAAACCCTCTCGAAGTCCCTTCGATCAACCGAGAAACTCGATTTCATTTATTTGCTCGTGCAGCTTATCGAAGACCTTGAAGCGATTGTTGTTTCAGAAAACGTGTACCTGCGAGTATAATCGAAATAATTACACTACATAGGAACACGCGATATCGGGGCGAAAAATCATAAAGAGGGTTCCGATTGTGGTTTCTAAGGCGGCAGAATTTCGTGTTGCCGTCAAGATTGGAAAAGAATATCTCACGAACGGTGGGAATATTAATATCCGGGAGGGGAGGTAAAAATTTGTTTTCATACTGCTAAAAATATAGGAAGATGAGGAAGAAGTTGTAAGCCGTCGGTCGATAATTAAAGACTATGTTAAAAAAGGATGTATAATAGACTGTATTCTGACCCGAACAGATACATTCTCCAAGTTAATTACGTTCTACGGGAGAACGTTCTACTCTTATTGTTAGTCATCGTTTCATTATTTTCTGGAAGGCCGACCAAACAATATCCAATTGCTCTTTAAATTCGATTTCGATTTTAAAACACAGTATCAAATTAAATCTTCGTTATTAAATCTGTTTAATAACGTTCACAGTATGCGTTCGTTAGTCCATTCGATTGCTAATTAAAAAGAAACTGGCTGTTGCTTTCACGTACCTTCTTTATAGTACTTTATACGACGTTTTTTCTTCTTGTACGATTACATAATACAAAAATGTACACTCTACACTCTTTAACTCGTTTCCTTAAAATGATTTGATTACGAATCGTCGGTCTATAGTCTATAGATTCATCGATAGGATGAATATACATATCTGGATGAAATCTTCGTAAATTTTTGCACGCTTAAGCAACGAAACAGCGTTCGTTGCCTTTTAAGCGCCAAATATTTCGCGTACGGTTATACAGATGTTCGTCAAGACGTTTTTCTAGAAGCAAGTGTGCGTTTCTAGGTCCCTGAGAAATGCGCGTGTTATACGTCTCGACACGAGCTATCGTGGGATACTTCCTGATGCACATTTGCCCCGCGATAATCGTAGTCGCCTTTTTAAGAAGGGAAGTCCTTTTTACGCCTCCTTTCTTCCAACGCGTTGCAACAAAACAAAAGACGTAGCCTGTAAAAAATCGGTAAATTGCCTAAGAGACCAGCTACAACGAAACGTAGCACGATTTAATAAGCGAACATTTTATAGTCGGCAGGCTTAAACGAATAGTAACATTAAATCATTGATCTTGGCTCAAGTTAATGAAGACACCGATAACTGTACACCTTTCGAGTAATGAATGGAGACTTCGTTAAATCGAATAACGGAATGTTCTACGATGCTCGATCTCGTGCAAATTTATGGATTTGTTTGGAAGAAACGCGGTCGAGTTTTCTCTTTTCCCTTTTCGCGCGCCTTAAGTAGATCGAGGAATTTAAGACAAATCGGTGTTTTACGGTATTTCGTTGTAAATATCAACGTGGCTCAAGAAGGCTTTCCATCGATACGTCTTAACAGTCTTTTTTTTTTTTAAGAAAAAGGGGAAAAGGAGCATTGCAGGTTCATGCATATGCATCGGTGTTTTAAGTACAATGTCCCGCTACCGGTGACCTTCGTCACGACAGCCTTTCATCCGACTTTATTTAATTTGCACGTGCGTATATCTACATACGTTGGTCGAGAAATATTTTACGGCCGAAAGTTCCGTGCACGTCCTCGATCGCGTGATTTTACAGTATTTTGCGCCGGACCTGTCGAGTTGGTAATATCACAAAAGAAGAAAATCCACGTCCTTTTGTCGTTTTCTTATCACTTGTGTAAACCAGACCTTATCTGAAAAGTTTAATCTAACGTTTTTTTTTTTTTAAATACATTTTAATCTAATATGGTAACTTATTACCGATAGGAATAAAGTTTTTACTATGCCGAAACGAAACCAAACGAAACCAGTCGAGCATCTAATTATCCGAAATATCTTAATTGTTGTCAACGATATTGGACAAAACTATGTAGCACAAGAATCGAAATACATTCCAGGACAGCGATGGTCGGCGATCGAATCGAACCTAGCCAACAGAAACTCACCAGTAAGCTACGATACGACAAGAACGTTATCTGAAAAGCCATAACGCGTATAAATCATTCCATCGTTCGTATTGATTTACGAAGCAAAATTACATCCACTACATTTGCTAAAGATCGAACGTGTCGTAAATCATTTTACTCGTTTCCTGTTCACGAAATGGCGAGAAAATAGAGAACTAGAACGTCCTCTGAACAGCGGGAAGCCCAGAGTGAAACAATTGAATGAATTTTTCACTAGGCACTCATTTACTCTACTTTCTTAAGTAAACCATTATTTTGTAAAAGCATTCCAAGTTTTCTAAGAAGTTTGCCTTATTGTTGCACAGGGTGGATGGCGAGGACGTAAGACTGATGCTGTGGGATACTGCCGGTCAGGAGGAATTCGACGCAATCACTGCGGCTTATTATCGCGGCGCCCATGCCTGCGTCCTCGCTTATTCAGCCACGGACAGAGATTCCTTCGACGCCATTCCTTCGTGGAAATTGAAGGTACGACTCTTGTGCACACGAGCACGTTTCCGTAGGTAGTCACGACGGATGGTGGAATGTGAAAGTGAAGGTGCCATTAATGCAGGGGGCTGATTTTAAGTCGCTCTACGGCTGAATGTTTCCATAGATAGCGGCACATCGATCTTAGATAGTTTTGCCAAGATGCATTTCATAGAATCATGCTGGCTCTAAGGGAATCCGTTATACGGTCATATATAAGTATTGACTGATGTTTGAGTCCTCTTATTATCGTAAAAGATAATAATCTAATGTTATTTTTTCATTGAAATCGTTATAGTGTAAACTTTAGTTATTCTACTAAGCTGTATGTAAATATTGTCCAAATAATTTTCTAAAACGTAATATTATCTCAATGAAATTAGAAACCGTATGATCTTGAATGATTTAGAAAATTTCTAGTTCTCTTTAATATTTTATCTGATGCAATTTGTAATGAGTATGCAGAATCTTCGAAACAAGTTAAGCGAACGGAGAAAAACTGAATCTCTCATCGATACACTTTTTGACTTCCCTCCATGTAAAACGAGTTTAAGTAAAGAATGCATGCGATTCTTGTGATACGTACCGAAGATAATACCTTAAAGGTATTCACTTAGAGAATCGTAGTTTTATACAGTGTTCCTCAATGGTCCTTTTTTCGCACACAGTCAACGGAACAATATGGTATTTCAACAACACGTATAATTGGAAGTTAATCAGTGTTATAGAACTGTATAAAGAACAGCGACGAAGATCTTTAATTATTTCGACGAAGACTGCTACAAAATATTACAGCAGAGTAATATAAGTTTATATACAAGATTAATAATGATGATATAAACATGTTCATCAGTAAGCCATGGCTAATATTGACAAAAAGCATGTTAGTGGCAAACGACTCCGAACATCGTTCGAGATCATCGGATACGCTCTCGAATTCCTTTCGTAGAAACTTGTACGTTCGCTTTTTTCTTTCGTTGCGGAGAAACACAGTCGAGAAAGGTGTAACTGAGTCTCGAACAGATACAAATCGGCGCGAATAGTTATCACTGTGAATCATATTTTGTTTCGATAAAGCACTTCTACCGTATTTTATATCTATTTTCTTGCTAAGTTAGCAAATTAAACGAAGCTGTTCGTACGAGGTTTAAATGGGGACTCAATTAGAATTTGTTTAAAGCCCGACTTTTAACTTATAAAATCATTTCCTGATTATTCGAAATTTTCACAAACAGTAGCTACTCTGTTAGCGTTAATTAGAAAAAAAAAGGCTTTGAATTGTAGTTCACAGACTGATAAAAGCGGTGATCTATTTTGCTTTGCAGGTGGAGAACGAGTGCGGCGAAATTCCCACGGTTCTTGTACAAAACAAAATGGACCTCGTTGATCAGTGCGTCATTGATCCGTAAGCGTAACGCCTAGTTTGCTTAATTAGCGGCGCAATTTCGAGTAATCTCGAGCATAGCATTGTTTCAGGGACGAAGCTGAGAGACTTGGTCGTGCCCTCGGCTGTAAGCTTTTAAGAACATCCGTGAAAGAGGACGTCGGAGTCATGAGCGTCTTCCGGCACTTGGCATCAAGATGTCTCCATGAGATGCGTCGCTGTGACGACGATTATCAGGACGACCTGAGATTATACTCGGCCGGACCTAGATCTCCTTCCGTAATAAGTGAGTTAATTCTTTTGCATCTGTTTTCTCTTCGCCGACAGAGTGAATTATTTCATAATAGGAATTATCAAGTATCGTTAATATTACCACCAACCATTGATAAATGGAAAATATATTTATGTTTCATTTGAAGGAATCTAGTAGATACTGTAGAGTAAGATTACGCATCCGTAATACTTCAAAAACACAGATGATAGAGTTAACGGCTCCGTTTATATAAGTTTCTCATTATAAAATCTACAACTGTTCTTAATCGTTCTTAACTTTAATATATCTACTTTTACCCCGAATTCTGTAAATTAAAGTTAGAAAGTGTTTCAAATCGATCTCATAACTTCATGTATACCAAGGATTCGTTCGTTTCAGGCGCAAAGAACGTGGAAAATTGGTAATGAATGGTATCATTGATCGCGGCTCCTATCAGCTATTAAACGCACAAATTTGTACGAAAGAGAACAATGGAGTATCGTCGATTCACACGTGGCCGATTTGATATAGACGCTGTCCAGTTGTTTTAGCCGGTAATAGCTGTGTGAAAAGAACAGTGCGCTTTCTTGGAAACTCCTCGAGAAGATGCATAATGTATTAACTGTACCGGATACGCACGCTTGTATTTACGGGTCGAGTTGATTCTGCCTCTTTAAGTATATCGTCATCACGTTCGTGGCTCGTGAGGAGACAGATGTATCAAGCCAGATTCGAAATAGATTTTTGCCATTCTTTTGCCTCGTTTTTTCTCCTTATTATTTTCTTGGCTCGAAGCATTCGAAGTATTTCAGAGTATTAAGACGAAGGATAGATTGAACGTTTGTACAGATTTAGTAGGTGGCCTACTGTGATCTGTATATGGTCAACAGATTTGACTATATATGCATATGTATGTATATCAGTCGAAATTTTTCAAGGACGCATGTAATAACGTCTTTCGGTAAAGTACAATACAGATTAATAAGCTCAATGTAGCTTTCTTGATAACTAAATGAAATCGAGATGACCATCTAAATAAAAAATATAATATCAAGTTTTTTAATTAATTAAAATTTCTTTTTATTCTGAAAGAAAAGACAAAAAGGAGAGATCATATTCAACGTGTAATGTTTTATCGTGATTATTTGAAGTAATATAATCAGGAAGAGTTTTGTTACATATGGATACTATGAAAAATAAATATTCATTGATGCTGACTTATTGTTAGTGTCGAGAACTTTAAGCGAGTTCCTGTAGAATGTAAATACATCTTCAGATCGCGTGACTGTAAGCATCGATCTTGATTCTTGAATAACACGCAAGTGTACGTACATAATGTACTTATACGTACACATAGGCCCGCATATTTTTCACGTGCTGTTAGACATTGTTTAAACTTTTTCTCCTCTTGTATCGATAGCTTTAGGGGAACTTTTTGAAATGAATTAACTTTAATGAAATAGAGATTGAAATGATTGAAATTTAAGAAAGAATTATATATGTTCAAATTAGAGGCGAAACTCTTGTGTGACGATTTAATTGTATGTGCAATATAAGAAAGTATAACAATTAGAATGATCTAGTTTCACATGGGACGAAACAAACAATCACACTTCGGCCACGAAAATGTTTAGAGCATAATTTTCAAACTGTTTCGCGAGTATACACGGTAAAAGTGTGGGAACGGAGCGTGAATCTCACTTACAACACCGAATCGGTCTTTAATCTTTCCTAATAATTATTTTACGCGAATGAATTTTCTTTGAGCGTAATCACTGAACAGAAATGAAAGAAAATTATACGATATTAATTAGTTTATTTGTTAACATAAATTGTACAAGTAACTGTTTACAGCATATAGATTATTTACAGAATATATTAATTAAAGTTTATAAAATTAACATGCACGTTACATGTATTTAATATAACATGTTAACGTGTAAAATTACGAAACGGAGTGTAAGAAATTGTACTATAAATGCAATTATTATTAGCTACTTCTAAGTTACAAATTTCACAATTTATGAAAATATATGTATGTATTTGTTATAGGTGCATTTAGTCCGAATGGGTCCACGTGTGGTCGGAGTACAGGGAATGGTACCATAGTTTTGCGACCAGGAACCAAGGCAAAGAATCATAAGAAAAAAAATTTTGTAAAAAACGCTTGTAGGCTACTTTAGTCTTTGCGTGGATAAATACGCGATAAATTGTAACGAATACTTCAACCATGTACAGACTGATATATTCATATTTATGAAGATATAAATAGCTTTTGTACGATTGTTTCGATGCCTATAAAATTGGTTTTAGGATTGTTATGAAATACGCACAGTATTTTACGCAGAGTATCAAAGATATAACGAGAAAAATTGAATGCGATTAATTTTGAACAGTATTGCGTGTATTAATTTGTGATACACATTTCCTTCGACAAACGATTATAGAAGAGCTGCCACTTCATAGTTCGCTTTAACTTATTTCAATTATGCGTTATTATTACGCAGTGTTTGTTAATTATGAATGAAAAAAATATCAGTTTAACTAAATACTGCTTAGTTAGATACTTTTATTAAATAAAATGTGAAAAATATAGAAGGTATATAAAGTACGAGATAAAAAGAAGAGTATAATTTGTTTAAAGTAATAACCGAATGTAATTGAATAATTTTTTATACCGAAAGGACAATATATTTTTTTATACATTCACTTTTTATTATTGAATATTATCAATTTTTCTATTATCTTCGATACTATTACGAACATGTGTAAATACGTCAATTTTTAAGCACTTTATTGTTTTAAATGTTTCCTGTATTAAGTACTTTTTATATTTGTGTTAAGAACATGGAATATTTTTTATGTTTCTGTAAATATATTATTCGTATGAACGCTGGAGATGAACATAGTGTTTTTTATATGAGTCATATAGTAAATTACTAAACTATAAGTTTATAATTAAAAGAATTAAATCACTCCACACAAATTTTTAGAAAATATTAGTGACATTAATTTATATGTAAACAAATAATGTTAACCAAATATTTTAGTTTATAAGGAAGAAAATATTATGTTGATAAACAATACCTTTTTGTGAATTATAATTATTAAATATCATAAAAATAATTTTTAAGGAATCTATTTTAATTAATATCCTAAAAAAATTGTGATAAATTTAAAAAGGAAAATAAATATCAGAAAGCGTACAAAAAGTGTACTATTTAAATTTTAATCTATTTTGCTCTATTTAAATTATATGTATTATACTATTGTAAGCAATTTCATTGTGTAAAAAAATAGATATTAGCAAAAATTGAATTTCTATCCGAATGTTTTTATTATAAACTGTACAATGCTTCAGAATTTCAAGTTCATATTAAAACCAAAATGCACTAGGTTTAAAGCATAATTTAATTAAACCCATAAAAAAAAAAGTGAATAATAATCATATGCGATTAAAATGGCCTGGCAGTATGCTAGCATATTATAAATATTACTGATATTTTTAATAGTAAGATAATTATGTAAATAATATAAAATAAAAAAATAATTAATTCTCAGCTAAATTGAACAACTTTTAAAAATACCAAACTGTATATAAATTTCTTATTTATATTATAACGAATATAATATGAAAGAAATTGCATAAATTTTGTAGTAAATGCGATAATTCTGTCTACAATACTAAAATTAAAATATTTAAAATACGAAAATTTAAACTCACATTTCTAATATAATTAAAATTTATATGTAATTTTTACTAACATTTCATAGTAGTTTTTTTTATAGTAGGAAGCACTATTATTTTTAAGTGGTCAATATAATAAGTTATTGTAGGATAGACATATTATAATGACTAAAAGCAATCACATATATACATATAATATCCACACAAAGATTAAATCGCACAAAATTTTAATAATGTGTATATATATACATTCTGTTCTATCGCATATACAAGGTGTACAAAAACGTAAGAAGTAAGTAAAGTAAAAAAAAAGGTAAGTAAATAAACTTGAGCCTAAAAATAGTTAGTTTTTGAATTACTAAATGTTTTTGTCAATAACATATTTACTCTGCAGCATATATTTAATATGATTCCCGTTCATTATTCATTTTAACACATATTTTGGTTCTTTGATAGAGTCGATAGTTTCGTTCTTTTGATAGAATCACGCACACAATGAAAGATGCCCTTCCCTTATTTCTTGGCAGCAGTTATCGATTTGTTATATCAATTCATTTAACAAAGCAACTGGTTTACTATATACTATACTTTCATATACTAAACATCTCGTAACTCGGAAACTAATGATTTTTAGATAGATGTTTATTAAGATTCTTTTTCTTATTTTAATGAATACTATATGCCCTAAAGTTTTCCCCCAACTTCTTTGTACACCCTGTACATAACAAAATGTTTTTAATTTTAATGACTTCTTGTTTTTATTTATCCACAATCAAAATATCAAGCTTTGCATATACTTATATTATTCGTTTTACTTCTTTTCAAATATAGATTCTAGTGAAGTTATTACGCTCAACACATTATGCTTCAATATCTATATACAGGGGGCCCCGCGTAACGCTACTCATTATTTTTTTGCCATTTGCGGCCATGTAACAAAAACTGTTTTGAACCGTTCTTTAACCCATTTGCATCCAAGCGCGGATTAATCCGCGCGCTGCAACTGTCTTCTATCACCAAGCGCGGATTATTACGCGCGCTGCGACTTCTTTTTATTTCAGTCGCTAAGTATTCTTCAGATGTGAGAGATCACGTTTGTCCCGTTTGTCAGCATCTCGCCTATATCAGTTTATTGTATTGACCATTTTTAAGAATTCCACGAGAAATAATATGATTTAATTTCTTATTTCTTATTTTTTTTAAAATAAATAATTTTTTCTTTTTTCCTCTGTTATAAGGAATGTAAGATGCGATGTTTGCGAAGTAACATTGTCTACCAATCGTTTTGAACAGTAAATTTTCGATAAACTCCATGAAGAATTTGGATGTCATTTACTGCAGCTACAACCGACCTACAGCTCACTTTATTTTATTACTTATTCAAATAGCATATTGATTTCTGCAATATGACATTTTGCTCTTTTGTAGAAAGTTATTATTTTGTTATTAGAGTGGCTGGATGTACAACTCTACATGATGTAGTAATTCCTTCCTTATGAAATGTAAATAATTCTGAAATGTATCAGCAAGTGAAATATTACTTCCACTATAAAATTTCTTATAAAATCCTCTACAATTTCATGGAAGAAGCAACATATAATCCTATTTGTGTTAACTAAGGTGACACTAGTTTCGTTATGAAAACAAAGTATTTTCGGGATTCTTTCTATCATTTGTAGTACGCTCGACACCATCAAAGTATGGTTCAAAACATTTTTTGTTACATGGCTGCAAATGGCAAAGAAATAGCGAGTCGCGTTACACAGGACTCTCTGTATGTTATAATCATTTATTTCGAAAATAAACAATTTTAATTCTCAAAATCTTTTAAGTACGGAAATATGTATTATTTGTTATAGTAATTTTATAATAATTTCCTATCATAATTAACGCGCATATACAAGTGTAATATGCATAAAAGCTTATTTGCCCAGATAGCAAGGCGTAGAAATAGTACATGTAGAGAAAAAACTCACAATATATGATACTTTTTGTACATTTACCATAAACATTATTGAATTATCAAGCACCCTGCTATAATAAGTTTTTCTTAAATCTCTTTTCAGATAACTAGGTCGTATTAATTACTGATTTAAAGAGTTACTTATCTGACTTCTTTAAAAATCAGTTATTCCAAATAAAGCTTCACAGTAATTTAATTGTGTGCATTTTGTCAATATAATCTAATAGTCCCTGCAGTCTCTTTTTTATTCGTTTCTGATCATCCATAGTACACCCAAGAATTGCTGTTTCAAAGGTTTTATCAGAATGGCCAACACTTTGTGAAGTACAAGCATTCATAAAAGATGCACAACGCTGCCGAGTTCCAGCTGGATCATCACGGAGGCCAACAACTAAACTATCTATCAAACCATTTACCTGAATGAACCAATTTGTATTATTAAGGATTTCATTTAAAAAAGTAGTAATAAATTAATATGAAATATATAATATGATGTATGAACCTGATGTAGTGCTTCTTCTTGAATTTGATCACGCTGAATTTTAACCAACACATCAACTGTTAAACATCGCATAGACAATCTTTCAGCATACCTCAGCACATCGTCCTTGTCAGCTATTTTCAAAAATAATATTTAATAATAATTATTGTGTATAATCCTTTGTAGGTTATGTTCAATAAAACAAAAGCAGTATCGTATAAAACTATTGCTACCATACAAATACAATAAATACAGTTACGTAATATTATAGCGATATGAATTTTAGATAAAAATTTTGAAAATCTTTTTTAGATGTTTCTAGATACATAAAGTATTGACCTTGCACTTTCAAGATTAGTAAGACAAATACTTACTTTCATTTAATCCACTTAAAATTTCATTGTTTCTAAGTGTGTCTAAGGTAGTCAGGAGTGTATCTCTTTCTTCTTCGAGTCTCCAAGCATCTTTCCTCAGTTGTTCTACATGCACTTCGATCTGATCAAGAAGGCTGACTAACCTGTCTTTCGGCTTTGTTGAACCATCACAATCCACGCTTTCCATAATATGTGGTAATGGATTATCCATTCTTTTCTCAAAAATTTTCAAAATTGCTCTCTGACGGCTTGGTCTTCACGTAATAACAAAGCTAGTAATTACATTTAAGCGCGAGGTACAACACAAACGTCCGGCTCGTGGACAAATTTACAGATGTGTTTGTATCGTGGTGCGAAAAGATGACTAACGGAACATGTACTTACTTACGAACACACACGAACATTTGACAACTAAATTATCAATCGAAAGGCGCTAAATATAAAAAGTACTTTTCTCGTGGTAGTTTAGACAATTGTAATAGTTTGTAATAAACGATAATATAAAATAAAGCAAATTCATCAATATGTTTTAGTAAAAAGTGATAAATTATGTATCTGTTTCTTTTCGAAATTAATAATTAATGTTTTATCAATTTTTGTTTTAATCTTTTTATTAATTTTAACTAATTAATTTTTGTTTTAATTTTTCCTATTTATTTAATATTGTTAGTTGCTATGTTCGTATCTATGCATTTAAGTAGAAACTTATTGAAACTATGATCGATATTAATATTTATATAGGTATATGTCTATATTATAAAAAGAAATTTTGTATTATTAAATAATCAAATTTAACATTTAATTTAATAAAATTATTAATTTAATAAAATGACAATTTCATTTAAGGGCCCAGATTTCTTTTTAAGAAATAATTGTTAAATTTTTTACGTAAATATATTTTTAAATTAAATGCGTGTCATAACGATATTCATAATTTCTAATATGCGGTTATAAAATATTATAATGCATATTAAAAATTATGCATAACATAAAATTAATTAATTATTTTGATTATTGATATTTATTATATTTCTAGTTTCAATTGTACACAACTTTATATTTTTGTTGCTGATTTGACATAGTTTCATACTAAAATATCCTCTTCTTCCGGTTATAACTTAACAAGGTTCGTAGTATTTTTCTGTATGATTGTTTAAAATCTAATTTTTCATTATAAATCTCCTTTTTCTTTAATTCTATATTATTTGTGTATGATGTAAATATAAATGTTCTATGTATATCATATTTTAAGTGGAGGAATTTCTAGAAATTAATAGAATAAACGTCTTCCTAATTTGTTCCAGGTGGTTCTAACAGTTTCTGTCTACAATGGTAAATATTAAATATTTATTGTTAACATAGATGTAGTATAATTTTAGTTGCAATTAATCTAATTTCTTGTATTATGTGTATAATAATGTATTATATGTAATGTAGTACATTACATATCTCATTAGATGTATTAGAAATGTGTTAAATTAGATTTACATAACCTCAATGTAACATAAATGTGATTGGTGCAATGAATAACATATAATACTTTCTTAGCCCCGAGAAATCAAAGAAATCAAAGATTTTCTCTTAAAAGCCAGAAGGAAAGATGCAAAATGTGAGTATTTAGGATTTTTTCCATTATTATTGTGATATAATGTAACATACATATATTAATTTATCCTTTTTATCACAACGATACAGCTGTGAAAATTAAGAAGAATGCTGACAATGTTAAGTTTAAAGTTCGCTGTTCAAGATTTCTGTACACTCTTGTCATTACAGACAAAGAAAAGGCAGAAAAATTGAAGCAATCTTTACCTCCAGGTATTTATTCGCTTAAACAAAAATATTAATAAAAAATTACAAAAATATATAATTGTATTACTACATATTTTAGGTCTTCAAGTAAAGGAAGTAAAAAGAAGTGAACGTATGTAATTGATAGAATAAACTAAATTTTTAAACATATGTTGTTTATTTTTCTGCCATTACATAAAAATATGTTTAAAAGAGGTTAAAATAATAATCTAAAAGAAAGTAATTGTTTAAATTAAAATTTCACGTTCTAAATTTATTTTGAATCAATTTTGGTTGTAACTTTATTCAACTGTTGCAAAATTTTGATTAGATATGATGCATGGTTGATTTAAAATGTATTTCCGCCTTTTAAACATGCATCGGTAAATATCCTTTCTTTTTGTTGGAGTAGTACACATCAACTTTAGTTCATCATATGTGTCTATACATATATTTCCATTATTGCATGTTGGTCTCTGGTCATAAGGATATATGCGAGAATAATTAAATTTTGTTTGACATTTTCTTGTAGTGTGTTGTACTTTATGTCTCAAATATCTCTTTAAAGGACAATACTTTCTTTGACATAGCTGAGTTTGAAGTTTGATATATTGTGAGAACAATATTCCCAATTCATCATAGGTTTCAGATATTTCTGATGTATTATCTGATGAAATACAAATATGATTATTACTAATTAATCGTTCTGGTACAGTTTGTTCTATAATTGAATTTTTACAATTATTTTTCATCAATGATATACCAATGAAATTCTTATCTGTTTTCAATATTTTTTCTCTAGCTTCTTTTATTTCATATCTTAGTATATCTACGGATGACTTCATTCTTTTCTGCATTTCTTTAAGATATACATTATGTTCATTTAAGTTTATTTGTGATTTCAATTCTTTTAAGTTATCTCTATTAACTGTATTAATCTTATCTGAATTACATATAGAACTATTTTTTATTTTTGAGTTAACTTGTAATAGTTGATCAATTTCTATTTTAATTGCATTAGACATATCAGATAGTGTAGAACTAGTGTAAGAATTAGTTGACCTATACAAATGTTTACAATGATTAGTGTATTAAATCAAATAAAGTTTAATAACATCTGTTAATTATTGAAAACCTTTTTAATTTGTTAAAAAATGCATTTGATAAAATATTCGACATATCAGCTGCAGAATCTGAGAAATATTTTGAATCAGTTAAATTTTTTGTGAATAAATGATAAGGTGAATAACTTGACTTAGAAGTGGAAATTTTGTATTTTTGTGTACTATCACTAAATGAATCAGTGTTTTCAAATTTGAGGTCTATCAATTTAGAACTGACATTATTTTGTTTTTTAGAATTGTTAATATTTCCTGAATTCCATTTGCACAATAACAGTTCGTCATTCTGTATATCAGATTTTGTTGGAGATAATGGTATTACTAAAAATTTGAGATCTGTATCTGAGAAACAAATGTTTTTGTTATTCTAAAAAGAAAAGAACATACAATTAAAAAGTTATGTTCATTGTGAAATTTGATATTAATTGGTTGGTACCTGATGTGAGTTTTTACAAATATTTTCATAATCTTCGAGATCTTTAATGTTCCATTCATTTGATATTGTTTTAGATATATTTTTGTACTTAGTATGAGCTGATGAAAAAGATGGGAAAAACATTTTCAAGGGCAATTGCTTTGTTAGATTGTTAGTAGAGGTCTCTATTTTACTTGCACATGGAGCAAGCAGCTTTTTCTTTTCCTAATCATAAATTTTTGCATACATATATATCTACACATAGACATACATAAGTTATAAAAACTAAACTATCATGATTATTTGAATATGATCATTTTTAATATAATATTTTACTTTTAATACCTGTAAAAGGGTTTTTAATTTACATTTTTTTTCATATTGTTTGTTTCTGTGGCCGTTATATTTTACATGAAATTTTGAAAAATTACATATATTAGACCCTAAAAATCGTCGTTTTGCATAAGAATCGCTTTCCCTTTCTTTTATTATAGAAAATCTGTCATCGCCGTTATCTTCATTTTGTCGAATTAAGCTTTATGAACGAAATATTGATACATTATCAACAACTAAACATTATATGCGTATGCTACACACATACTATATATATTATTATACATATTACATTATAAGAGCAAAAATATAATGAACCTTTTTAAAATGGAAATGACTCGTCTGTGTATATAACGATAGCACGTTATAAATAAAATTGTTAGAACCAAAATGGTAAATAAGATGAGAAATATTTTCCAAAAATTGTTAGAACCTGTTTCGATTTGATCATTACTATTATAATACCTTTTCTCGGTATCAGTTATTCGCAACATTTTTTTAACTTGCATGCTTTCTGTTATGATAATTACGACAGAAACTAGAAGATTGTGAAATGAATTGGTTATAGTACAAAGTCACTGTATTTTTAAAAGTAAAATTCATACATGTATTAAAAAAGGTTCATTTGTTATTTATTGACAAGAATATCGAAAATGCAAAATAAAACATTTGAATCTATTACATGAGTTTACTTTCTGTTTTGTTTACAGATGTGGCATGGGCCACGAGTATGTTATGAAAACATCTAAAAATAATAAAATTTATCAAATACAATACCTACAATAGTAGGATTAATACTTTTTATAATTACAGTTCATAAATCATAATGATTTTTTGGTATAGGAGGAACACGATAGCGAGGTCATTAAATATCAATTATGAATGAAATTATTGAAACGCGGATGTTGAGACAAATGAATAGAAATACATTCGAGCAAGGTCGTACTAGAAAACTTTTAATGCAAAGTTAATGTTCTTTTTGTACAATATTGAAATACAAATCTTAGATTTGTAAATGTAATTTCGTTCTTGATTCCACTGAATACAAATTTTTTTATTATGAGAAACATACATAAAACAGTATACAGTATTGGCTCGTTAGCAATGCATATTCGGAATCATGTCGCGCACTAATATGGGAAATACTAATTGCAAAGAAAAAGATACAAAAATTCTATTTCTTTAATTTTGATAACTCATTGCTCGCTAAAATATCGCCGATGTAGAGTAAGCGATAACAAAGTTTTAGGAAATGATGGAAGAGTGGGACTCTGTGTCTACTATCGGAAAGCAAGAAATGCATCAAGATATTAACGAGACAATACTGCATAATGTAAGCATGTACTTACTACTTATTGCGTACGACCTTAAATAGTCAAAGATCTTTCGCGATGGATTAATTTTCGACCTAGCTAATCTTGGCCCATACACTATACCTATTCTAAACTACAAATTATGGATGAACTTTATATCTATATATCTTGATTCATAATTATATTGTATACATAATAAAACAAAATAATGAATTTCATACAAAATGGATAAAATATCATTCATTACTAATATATTTTTCTTAATTTCGTCATAATCTTAAAATATTTTATTCTTATGTACGTAACAAAGAATATTAATGAATTTATTAATATATATAATGTATTGAACGAAATACAAAACAATTGTGGCATTAATGATGTTTGATATTAAATTCATATAACATACATGTTTGTCATACATGTTTTAGGTTCTGTTAACTTTTTAGAGACTGAAAAAATCTTTTGCTTTCTGATAACATAATCTTCATATAATACATAATACATTTACATAGTATAATACCATCCGTCAGTATATTTATATTTCAGAACTCTATCTAGACACTTATCGGGACAGATAGATGTCCAGACAAGCATTCAAGCGAGCGAAAAAAATACAACGAAAGTGGGTGAAATATAGAGACTCAATACGAGTATAGATAACTAAAAAGGTTAGACAAAATAATGGAAACACCTCTTATATGTCATATATTCCATATATGCATACAACATGTAAGAGGTGCTTCCATTATTTTATTCAATACCTGTATAACCATCGATAATAACCCAATATCGACAGTACTCCGTGAGCCCTCTATCCAAGGCTGATAGAGCAATATATGCTTTCGCGGACAGCATTGTACACTCCTAATGCATATCTAATGCATACATTAGTAGTTTTTAATCCTCTCAAAGTATAAAATGGATAGAAAGTATAAAATAGATTGCAGAAAAACTGCCAAATATTAAATTGCGTCAGCACATGAGCGACGAACGTCGTTATTACAATTTATTGTATGTAAAATAAATGAAACAGACATAATAATACAACATAATAAATGAACAAACAATTTGCTCTTATTTATTATCGCGAATCGAAAACTGAGAAAGCAAAAGATATATATTTTTTAATTATTCCTCATCATGTCATTATACTGTTAATTGTTATATTATCTTGATATTTCTTGAAAAAGCAAATCACATATATGTATGTAATCATGCTGTTCTGCAATCATTTATTCATCACACTCGTGATAAGTAGCTCTGGAGAAGAAAGAATGTTATTAAGTTTAATATAGGAGAACTTTAAATACTTTTGAAATTATAAATGCAAAAACCTTTGTTTGTCCATATTTCGTCGAGATAGTCTTCTTCCAGGCTCATGTGTAGTCAGTGTATATCTTTTCGTATGAGGACGATTTGCTCTAAGTTCACGTGCTTCTGTAGTTTTGGCTTTTTCTACTTTTTGCATAAACTTAGTAATTAGTTCTGGACAATTTAAGTTTTCTTCTGGTTCCCATGTATCATCTGCTGATGTAAATCCTTTCCAACGAATTAAAAATTCCCTTGTTTTATTCTTTTTAAAATGTACTTCTATAATCTTTTCCACCTCAAATTCTTTTTGATCATCTTTCCCACTTTTTTCTTCATCTGATGTTACTATTTGTTTACCTATATTTAATTAAGAAATTAAGTATCTGCACAATATGAAATAATTTTTATAAATTTATGGGTAACATTTGCAAAATAATACCATTTTCTGTTTGTTTTTTAACATTATTTTTAAGCTTTTTAGATTTTTTGTCCACTTTTACAGCTTTAACTTTAGGTGACTTTGTAGAATTATCTAATTGCTTAGATTTAGGGTCTTCTTCATTTTCAGCATTTTCAGCTAAAAACTCTTCTATTAATTCTAAACAGTTTAGATCTTTTTCTTGTTCCCATGTATCAGAATCTGCATCATATCCCTTCCATCTGACTAAAAATTGACGCCGACCTTTGATTGTACGTTGACCCACAATTTTTTCTACCTAGGTAATTGAAATATTAACTATTATATTCAAACAATGCATTTACTAGATATTGTATGCTAAATTAAATTTTATATAAAAACTCCTTTTTTACATATGCTTTTTCAACTGTTTAAATAAAAGATGAAATGCAGAAAAATTATATTATGAAAGAAAGAAGTAAGATAGTTTGGCAATATTAATTAAAAACTTTTCTAATACTCAATTTTATCATAGGAAGTACAAATATTATGATTTTATATATGACATTTTATTTCACATTTTTGACGTATTATGCGAAGTATGATAATAAATCAAGTTACCTATGACTAAACTGTATCATAAATGGCGTTGCACGATTACTAATGCGGCGATATATCGCGAGTACACGTAAAATATTAAGTAAATTTTAAAGTTTCGTAGAAACAATTTTCTTTACAAGATGGATTATTTAGCATTCATCTTTTATACTGAAGATCATTCTTGTTTTATTGTCTTTTATAGCAGAAATTTTGTCATTCAGTTGAATAGCTGCTAGTCAACATTGCATACCTAGGAGGCGCGTTCTTGTTGCCGTGTAAACATAGTTGTAACATGTACAATAAACACACTAAATATGATGTCTGACTTACCTCATACTCTTTTTCATTGTTTCCTTCCTGTTTTGTTAAGGAAGATCCCTCTTTTTTAAGTCTCTTACTAGGTCCAGCCTTCCCGACATTCTTATTTTCTTCTTCTGTATCTACAGCTTGAGTATCTTCTACTTCAGGCTTCACGGCAGAATCCTCAGTTGTTTCTTTTTGACTATGACGACTGCGAGATGAACGTTTTTTCGCTGTACTTCTGCGTGGCGATTCTGTATTCTTATTCTCCTTTCCCTTTTTCATTTCGTCGTTGTTGTCGGATATGCTTAAACGTCGGACGCCATTTTCCTCGATACTGCTATCACTAGTTTCAGATTTGCTACGCTTGGTTTTCATACTCAATCTACGCATACTATTTTCACAGTAGACAATAAAATTTTTATATTTTCGATAATGTTTGTTCAAAACTTATAAGTCGCGCATTATATGAATGCTCTTATCTATCAGAACCGGATGATTTTATACCGAGTTGCCGCAAACAATTCACAAATAGTTTGGCGCGCTACACAGGAAGTTCTTAAGCACCATATCGAAGCAAAGATTTTGATTTAACGAATTGTACGAATATAAATATATGCATTTTTTAATTTATTTAAAGAAGTATCAATTAAGTTTTCATGCATATGAAGCTATCGAAGTTTGAATCTTCGAATAATCAAATCTTTTAATAAAAATACCATATAATGGTAGAATTTTATTTTAAAGAAGCAATCTCATTTTAACCCCTTGTAACTTTTATTGTATAGTTCATTAGTCCACTTTTTAAAACGACAAACCTCGTTTACCAGAAATAAGATTTTGTAACGGAAAGTCTTTAATTTAAGATATCAGTTTATTATTTTTGTTTATTTTTCATAGTTTTAGCAGGTAAAAAATTATATTTAAATTTAAAATGCATTTTTATGATTTATAAATATGAATCGATTAATTGTGTTCTACTTATAATGTATTGTACTTTGTATACTTTCACATTTAATAAAAAGCAAGATGATTTTAAAAATTATTGGCCCTTTTCGCAAAAATAAAAGTTATTTATAAATGAGAATTCGAAAACATTATAGTAATACTTCGGATGGATAATGGATATTGAGAGATTTCTACTAGATTGATAAAAAGATGCAAACTACGCTTTTAAAAAATTATCGTTTATATTTTTAATTATGAAATAGAAACATTGTACGTTCATTAAAAATTATAGTTTAATAATGTAGATCTATTCAACTTTTTATATACTGGATTAATTTTTCCCTATTTTCCCCAATAACTATTTAAAAAATGATTTATAATTATAGAATAATTGCGTAGGATAAAATATTATTAAATCAATATTTTGTTACTTTGGTGACCAAGCATCAGTTTCTTATTTCTGATAATATTAAGCTAATATTTTTTGTGTAACTTTGATATATAAACATTAACATTTCTGTTAATTGTTTAAATTATGGCTAAGTCTGTAACTACATATGAAAAACCTTTACCACACATAAGTAAGTGTAATTTAGAATTTTGTCATGTCACAAATATTGATATTTAATTTTGTTCGCAATATATTCTTCTTTATTTATATATTGCATTAAAATGTTATATTTTAGATAGGAATAAATATATATTGCATATATATAATTATATATATTGCATTAAAATGTTATATTTTAGGTAGGAATAAATTATAATTTTTAATTATTTATATGCATGACATACAATCTCTTTATAATAGATTTAGCAGATTGGTATGCTAAACAATGGAAACTCCAGCAAAATGCAGCTTTCAGAAGTGCAGAGGCATTTGAATTAAGAAATACAGGAAAAATTGTTCGCTCAGAGACAATGGTAAAAACAATATGGGATACATACATGAATAATACTCGCCTTGCAGATAGGTAATAATGACGAACAGTATAATGATGAAATGTAGATGAATAATTTAAATCATATCTAATAAAAATCTAAAATTTTATATCATATATATTTGTAGAGTAACAGAATTATCACGTTGGAGAGAGTTACTACAGAATTTGCTAGATAAATTAATTGCAGAGTTAAAGTTCTTACAAGATGAGAAAGTCGATACAGAGAAAGAATTAGAAACTTTAAATTATCCACTACAATTAACAGCAGAATGTATTTCCATGAGGGATTGCCGTAGAGGAACAGAACTTACTTATGATGAAGCTGATACAGAATTGAAAAAAGAACTTTGTGTCATTGAAAATATTAAGAAATCATTAACTGATAGGTATAACATGAATACAAAAAATCTGTGCATATTTAAATATATGTTTTTGATGATACATTTTGTGTAGGGTGCAAGCTGCGTGGGAAAAATTAAATCGTTTAGAAGAAGTTAGATTTCAAATCCAATTAGAAGTGGAAGATAAAGATGAAACTATTAAAATAGAGAAAGAAAATCTTAATTTAGATCGAACATGTGCAAATATTAGCTATAAACCAAATGCATTAAGAACTCCAAAAGGGTAAGAATAAATATCTGCACGCAATGTATGAAATAAATACATAAATCTATTTTATTGCAGTTCAATACCTTATGAAGCTTGGTTGGAACATTGCCGTTATGTTAAAATGTTAGCTGATAATGAATTAAGCGATGTATATAATTTACGAGAAGCTATAAATATAATGCGTGAACGTGCCAGAAATGATATTAAAGCTCAGCAAGACGTAACAGATTTTAGTTTACGGAAAAGAATTTATCAGACACAAAAAGCTAGGAATGAATTAGAATGGCAAAAGCTTAAAGTAACAACATTTGAAAGTAAAATGATCATTAATATTTAATACATGTTAGCTTTAAACATAATATTTTCAGATCCAAAAGGAAATGGAAATTTTACAAAAAGAAATAGTTAGACTAGAAGACGCATTAATGCATAAAATTGATTCGATAAAATGTGCAGAGACAAGATTAGAAAATCGTACTTATCGTCCTGGTTTTGAACTCTGTCGTGATGAAGCTGAATTAGGTTTGAAAGACGAAATTTTACATTTGCGACAAACTGAAAAAGACTTAAAAAGTGTATTGGAAAATTCAAAGTATGTACAATAATGCATAATTTACATAATGATATATTCTATCATCGTGAAATGTAATTATTTTATTTAATGTATGTATTATTTTCTAGAGGGGCATATAATAATTTGGAAAGCTTACTTTTGGAAGTTGATAGAAATTTAGATGATAAACAACATTCTTTGGCAACAGATGTGATGTGTTTAGATATGAGGGCAACATTAAAAACAGGAGACAGAACACGATTGCCAAACGAAACAGATCGTAATATTGTTCTTACACGTATGGAAAAAGAGATACCGCTTGAATCATGAATGAATTGTAATATTTACACAAGTCCATTAGAAAAAACATTCATTCAATATATAAAATGTCTATTTATTGTAGTACTTTTCAGTAGTAGTTTTCATTATACACAATAAACTTATTATTTGCATATGCTTATGTGCCAGTATTAATAATATCTGGTTTGGCTTTAATTAAACTGTATTCTGAAATAAACGAGTCTGTCAATTTTGGTTCTAAAGTTTTTACTGCTCTTCCATGTAATTCTCCAACTTTTTTGGGATCGCCATATTTCATTTCAAACGTAATATAATCTATCCAAATACTTATATCATTTTTGCCAAACTGTAAAGTTGACATTTCATTATACTTTCTTACATGCTTTAATGATATTTCAGGTTGCATAAGTTCTAACTCTATCATCTTTTTGTGTAATTCAAGAACGAAAGGAGGTTGTAAACAGAGATTATCATAAACTTTCCTTGCCGCTTGTATACCTAAAATAAACAACAGTCGTGATATACTACCAAATACAATTTTACAATTTACGACTACATACTTTTTGTCAAAACTAGCCATTCAATGTAAATAATCTTTATGTATTGAGCAATATTTGGATGTGCTTGTAAAGCTGTTTGGAAAACTTGTTCAGCTTTCTCAGGACACTTTGCTTGCACATGTAATATTTTCATCTTCCATAAAGGTAATGACTTTTCTGCAAGAATTTGTGTTGCCTAAAAAATGATCATGCTTATATGTATGTAATATCATTGATATAATTAAAAATAATTACTAGTATTTTTGTACCTTTAAAAATACAGCTTCAGCTTCTTTTTCCTCTCCTGAGGCAAACAAATATCGTAACCTAGCATGCCAAAGACTTATGCTACTTGGTATAGTTTCAGTCGCAATGCTCAGAATTTCTTCAAATTTTTTTTCTGTAGTTTTATCTTTTTTTTCAGCATTTAACATGTTGATCTACAGTGAAATTATTAATATTAAAGTCTTTAATTCTTACTTTATGCATGTAATGCATACTTATCAGGTACATTACTAACCCAATGTAAATAATATTTTTCTTTTAACTTTTTTGCTTGATGTGCCTGAGATAATGCAGTTTTTAATAATTTTCTTTTAAAATTTGGTAAAGTTAAAGATCTGGCTTGTTGATTTATTTCTATTAAACAGTCTATATACAAAGACCACATTTCTTCAGTCTTAATTTTTTTGACTGCTGTTTGATAAACTTTATTACAAGATGTTATACGATCTCTTAATGAAGTTTGTTCTGAATTATCAACCTGCATCGCTGTATTACTAAAAGAAGGTTGAATAAGTCCTTCTAATTCTCGTCGTGCCATCGTATCCCACATCAGGGGTTCATGAGTATACTCTTCTATCATATTACTAAAAAGAATTTAAATATTCAAACTAAAGATAATCAATAATTTTAACATATTTTTATTACTTTTACCTAACAATTTTATTTTGTAATTTTTCTGTGTTATTATGATCCTTTGTAATATTTAACAATTCTATTACGAATTTGATATCTCTAATGCGTTTTGATGCTTGTTGATATATGATATATGCCCTTTTTATTCCAATAGACATGTCATCATCAGTTTCTGTCGGTACTGCATTGTCACCATTATTTTCACTTTTCTGATCATTAGCTGATGCATCATCTAATTCTAATCTGTATCATATAATTAATGATTAAAAATATAAATGAAAACATTAATAATATATGAAAAATTTATAATATGTGACTTACTTGAAAGCATCAATAAATAATAACTGAGAAGTTGGATGTATATGTAAACCACGAAGAAGAAACTGACGAGCAGTGTCTTTATCTTTATTTTCTTCTAGTTCCCAAATTGCAGCAATATGCCAACATTTAGGTTTATCTTGATGAACTTGCAACATTCTACCTAACGTATGACTAACATTTTTGTGAAAATGCTGTCACATTTTATATTAATATTTAAAAGATGAAAAGTCAATAGCTTTAATAAAAAATATAATTCAAATACTCACAACATGTTTACAAAATTTTATGTAAGCAATCCAAAAACGAATATCATCTTGAAATCTAAATATTGCTTCTTTATATAAATGATTAATTTTATTTGTAACAGCATGGTCAATATCTGACGTTTTTTGAATAATACCAAATTTCTGTTGAAT